GTAAATGTACTGTTGTCATTGCGAAGGTTCTTCAAAGCTTCTTTTTTTGCTTTTGTTAAGTACTGTTTTGTCTTCTATCGCTTAAGTGTCAGAGCACATTGTGCTCGCACCTCACGTGCAACTGTCTTATCTGCTGAATGACGTCTTCAGGTTTCAATTTTTTAACTGACACTGAAGTTAAATCCCTTTTCCATCATCTTCACTTCTGTTACGCTCAAAAACTGAGTTGAAAGATTGACAACTCACTTTGTTTTGTGTATGGCGATGTGCTACAGGAAATCTCATTTAGATTGTCAAACCTTTTTATTTAAGTATTCTGGGATTTGCTGAAGGAAGATGGTCTCGCTTTGTTAAAGTTGTCGACCAGTAGTTCACCTGTCTTTCTCATATCCTCTACTTTTAATGGCGATGTTTCACAGCCAAAGAGTAGAACAGAGTGAACTGCAGCACAGTAAACTCGATCCTTAATAGACAATCGAATGTTACGGCAGCGCCACAGACGCAGTAAGTTTGCAAAAGCCAATCGAGCCTTTTGTATCTACGTGGAGATTTCGTTGACCACTGACCTGCCAGGGCAGGGTTTATCCGAATTTCCAGGTAAGTCAAGTGGTCAATGCACTTAACCACTTCACTCTCTGTTGTTAGACAGCTCGACCAGTCCTGGGGGCAGCAATTTGCATTTGGGTGGGGAGAAACACATCTGAAACCTTCTCAAATTGCCAATCAAGGTGTCCAGAAGGCATCTGATCAGCATCTTGTCAGCGTGTTCACCAAACAGGACTACGTTATCTGGATACTCCAGATCTACCAAGGATTCTCGATTGCTCTCATCAATCTGTGTGTAGTCAGATGACGAGAAGGAGACCTGCATAACAAAATCTGAGTTAAAATTTAGCGAGATATCGGAAAATTGTTCTTAATGGTGCAGATCTATTCACTCTTCGAATTCTTCCATAGGTTGAATATCTTCAGCAACCTTCATTTTCAAACTTTTTTTGCCCCCATATACTTTTACTCACTCATGTATCACTCATCTGCCCACTTGTTTATTGCATCCTACTATAAATTATGGTATCTTTAACTGATGCTGTTGTGTGCGAGGTTCTAAGATGATTTCGTCTGTCTATTCCTTTTATATATGAATAGAGGCTTTTTGCGCAGTGACTTTGCCATAGGTTATCTAGGAAGCACTTTAAATCGCTTGAAACCTAAATTGTATAAATCGCGTGATGTGAGAATAAAAGTGCATCATTTGATCACATCCATTACTAGGTGTTTATCTCACAGAATATGAAGGACATCGGTTAGCAAGCGTTTTGTTTCACATCAGTGTTGGGTTCTTTCCCAACATGTGATGGGGCTATTTATACACCCTTATTTGCTTCGGTAGTACCTCCAGAATACTAAGTTTTGTGCGGCTACCCCAAGGGGATCTTTGTAGGTCTTGTCATATGTTCGCTTATATAGGAAATTAGACGTCAGTGGTTTGTGTGATCACTTTTCAGCTATTGAGTCACTTTTTCATACTTTTTACCCGCACATTAAACCAATGATATCAGAATAACATCATTACTAGTCGCTTGGAGAGCACGGTTTCCACCTAAATTTTTACTAACGCCTCCACTGTTAGTGCCGGATTATGAATAGATAGATAGACCGAAAAACTCGCCGTAGAACCTCGCACACAAGTGCATCGGTTCAAGTTATCACAATTCAAAGTAGCGTGCAAAGAACAAGTAGGTTGAAGGTGAGTAGTACCAAAGTAGACAATAGTGTATCGGAGGGACAGGGGGTTGGATCTTTGCCATTGTGACCGATTTTCAGGCATATCATCAAGGTTTTCCAAACATTGATTTCTATCACCTTTGGGGAACCCAACCAGATAGTCTAAATCTCCCTACATGGCTTAGACCAACAGTTACAAACTTCTAGGACTAATACAGTATCTTGGTCTGGCTACTCTCAGCCTTCTTCCAACTCACCTCAAATTCGGCCAATACTGCTTATCTATGTAGGCAGTGGATCGGTGTGTGCAACACTCCCAAGCCATCTCAGTCGCTGAGGATTCACAGACTCATCAACGATTTGCTACCTTACCTACTACCCATCACCTAACCTCAGCACTGCTCACATGATGGTTCTACCATACGTGATGAAAGCTATGAAGATATGTTCTCTCCAGATGTACTTTCAGCGACAAGTGTTTTATAGCCGCATACCAAGACAGAGTTCAGGTAGAGTGAACTCATATGGTCATCTTTCTTCATTACTCCGAGGTAATGGGGTTAGACAGGGTTTTCTGATTCCACCATTGCTCTTCAAAATCGCAGTCGGTGACTTTGTAGGGGCAGCCTTGGAGGAGTTCTGTAGTGCTGGTGCTGGTGCGGTAAACCCATTACCAGGTGAAAGACTGTCGACTCATAGCAGACGGATGATATCGTTTTCACTGTGAAACAACATGCAGCTTGCTCAAATTACAATGTTCGTAAGTATAGTAGTGCTTCGCACCCATGAAGTACAAAGTACTTTGACAAGATTGTTGTGACCTGTACTTGCACGCACCCTTGGTGGTAAACTGTTAAAAGTCGGGAAGCGTGTGCCTGGGTAGTTTTGAGAATGCTAATGAGGGTGCGACTGATGAGGTTTTCAACCGTATGTCGAAAGCCAGTCACATTTGGTGCCGTTGTGACGTTAACCTTGCTGCAAAAGGTCGGGTGTACAACACTTCGTTGCAAATAGTTCTGTTCATGAAATCTGGCCTCCGAGACCGATATTTCCGAGGGCTTAGCATATCCAATCACCATTGTCTCTGTAGGGTTTCTAACACGGTACAAATACCATGTGAGTAATTCTTAGGTAAGACGATGTGGTTGGGCGTGGTAGAGATCGTTATTCGTTGAAAATGGTCATCTTAAAACGCCCGCTGTCTTGGCTTGGACATGTGTCAAGAATGCCATCTCAGCGGCTCCCACGCTGTTCGCTGTTCTTTTTGCTTGGGACTGGTTGGAAAAAGCAGTTAGTGTATAATGTGTCGCCTTGGAATAAAGGGTAGTTGTATTAGGTTAGCATATTTTTGTGCTTCACGACACGCTGGATGATGTCCGGTAGATTATGCAACTCAGTGACTTGAGACGATAACAGACATGGCTCACAATCAAAACCAATGATGGTCATGCCTCAGCTTTCTCGACTGATAGCTGCCATCTTGACTTGGTGGTTACGGTTGTGTATCACGATGACCCAACGAGCTATACTGGTGGAACGCTTCTTCCCCCGAGGTCCTGCCATACCAGAAAGGTCTATTGGATAGTGGTTAGACAGAAATCAGTTACCCCTTACCATTAACATGTTCCTAAAAAAGGAAATGGTGCAATATGATGGCTTAGAACAGTCATTAAAGGTTAGTGGTGATTTGAAATCACAGGACGTATCTCCAATCACACCTTCCGTAATACAGGCCAATTTTCGTGGCATCGAAATGCTATACGTGACAGGCTTCAAGTAGATGTTCCCTGGGTTCTGCGGTCAGGCACTAACCCCTTTTTCCAGGTACCTCAAAAAGACCTAGCCTTCCACGGCATGGGTAAGCGGGAAGTGTCAACCGCCCTCGCAACTCTATCAGCGCTCAGGTTCCCTCAAACCACCATCCACGTCTCTCATCCTTTCCTTCTAATCTTCCTTCATGTCTCTCAGTTAACAATCCTACATCATCTTTAATTTCTTTATAGCTCTGCAGCTTTCGACAACGATCTGAGTCTACAGAACAGCATCACTGGTCTCCTTAAACCACTCTCCAAATCAGGCTCTCGAGACAAGAGAAATAAGTGGTTGGGGACGCTTGCTGATATGACTCAGAACCGATGTCAGTGGCGCAGCTGTAGACACATCCTCGTTATAACCGCTGTACTTAATCTCATTATCTCATGCTTCCTTCTCTTTCACCATTTTCTACTTCATTTGACCGATTTTTCTTTCTTTGATCATCTTCCATTTTATTGCCTTGTTACCTGATGTGCGGATATGAGGTGTGGCAACTTGGAGCGTTATGCAGTAATACCTGGTCCTATGTTAATGTTGATGATGAGCTTTCTTATTCCTCCTATTATTGAAAAGCAGGACGAAAGTAGCGAATGCTTCTTTGGATGTACTTTTGAGACTGTTTCTCCAGTAACCCACTTCTTTTTCGCTTCTGTTCTTCCTCCCTCTTTCTGCCTCACATTTTTTCATAGTGTTGCTGTATATACTATTTTTGGAATCAAATCATAGAGTATTACTTTAGAACGACTTCAACGATTGTAATTATAATACGTGTATTTCAGGGAGTACCAATAAAGCATTTCCACCGAACAGTTCATACAAACTCAGTCACAATATTAAGTACCTGTATTTACAGTGACATGGTCACAACAATATGAACTCAGTTCTATTTAAAGCATAACCAATAGGGTTATAGTTTTAATCACAGTAACGTTGGACAACGATAACCAATGACAATGTGAGCAATATATTTATGACTCAATCAGATATGACTCGTGTATGCGTCACATCTCTGTGTGAACAGTAACGAGTCATTATACCATATCACTGCACGGAGCATCTATTGGTGTTTATGATGTGCCATTAGTCGTCTTCCAACCAACCTTGTGCGTCGACGGTATGTGTTGACTCGGTATGTGGCGGGAACGTTCTTCCAGTTTTACTGAATGCTTATGAATGAAACTGTGGAAAATATTGCTTTCTGAAGAGCATTACTGATAAGCTGTCGTTTAAGCACCCTTTCAAGAATGACACTCTCTTATACCATATACTAGTTGTTGTCGACTTACTAAATAGTGTAGAGGGTCCTTTCAGGTTTTATTTTTCGTATGAGTTATTATTATTTTCCCCCAGTTCAAATTTATGCTTGATGGATTGTTTCATTTAACTTTTTAAGATAGTCCCCTGTAGTTCTCAACCTAAATATTGTGTAATTATCTTTCATTTAGCCTTACAGATGAATTATGGCTTCGAGGCATGTTCCCTACACGGATATTTCGGATATGGGCCGTGCAGCTCAGGAGGTTTGTGTTATTTTGTTTCGATTTTTGTGGCTATTTACTTATTTATTTTTGTAGACGGAATTGCAACGTGCTGCTAATCAGCAACTTATTGAAGAGGGCAGAATAATTAAGCACAAAGAGCTGGAAAAGCAAAGACGTGAGGTTTGTCTTACATGTTAGAGTACATGAAAATTATCACTAGGAGGAAAATGAAGATGACTGTAGCAATGGGCGTCCTGATGTTATTATCAGAGTAAGCAATTCATTATTGTATTCACCAAATAGTTGAACGGCTTATAATGCAATTTCATTATTGTGATTTCTGACATTTTTGAATCTACTTGGGGTTAAATATTGCATTGTTAGTCTTTAACTCTGCTTACATTTAATTGCTCTTCGTGATTACAAAATAGGTGGTGCATTCTTGTATTTACGTGCCATTTATACTTGACTTCATAGAAAAGTCTAACATATTTGTTTCCTTCCACGAATTTAGGTAAGCTACAAACAACTAGTTTTGTAGAATGCGATGATTTCATTGCATCGACTCATCTGACATGCCTCCCTAAAGCCGTTCACCCGTGTAATATATAAACCAGCTATACTGAAACCACGTGTTCCGCTCAGACTTACTATTATTATTTGTCCCTTGGGTTCCTAGTGGAACATAAGGCTTCAGTAGCACGTCTCCATTGCAATCCCTTCTCTACAGTCTTTTAAACCTGGCTCCAAAATTACCCATAAGCTTTCATTTCTTTCTGACACGATCTCCTCCCTGTCACCCTCAGACGCCCGACCCGTTCGCCCCCTTGGATTCCACTCGAGAGCTGGCCTGGCGCGTGATGTCTCCGAATGGCTTTCTTAGTGTGTGCCCAATCCACCTCCACCTTCACTTTCTTCTGCATATTTGTTGGGCGATAGATTCTTGGTCGATTGGTTTGTTCTCAGAGTTCCTTGTTGCTTATTCTTTCTGGCCATCTGAGCTTCAGTAACGAGCCAACGTAGGCAGCTGTTGATGGATGTCTGTAGTTGTAAATGCTTTTCGTAATGCGCCAAGTTTCTGAACCATCACATAGAAGCACTGACTTGACGTTGGTGTTGAAAATCCGGATGTTGTCCACGCTTTATGCTGAGTGCGGTAGATCTCTACACTGATTTCAGATTAATGAAGGAAAGCCTGTCTTGCTGCCGTCCCGATCCTGGTTTTGACATCCTCATTTGTGCCTGTGTCATCTGTAGTTGAAACGATGCTGCCTAGGCAGTAGGTAGGTGAAAGAGACAACTTCATTCAGGTTTCTCCTGTTAATGGTGATTGGTGCCTCTTGTAGTTGATGCTGTTATTATTGTTGTTGTTGTTGGTTGGTTGGTTGGTTGGTTGGTTGGTTGGTTGGTTGGTTGGTTGGGTATCTTCATCACCTCTGTCTTCTCTACGTTCACCTGGAAAAGGTGCTGTCTTTGCTGCCCTGCCTCTTCTGTCAACTCTTTGATTTTCGCCTGTAGATCTTCGAGTTTGTGCGGCATTAAACATAATCTTCTAGAGTCTTTCCATCGGTTCAGCCAGCGTATACCCACCTTCCCGCTTCTCACAGTTTGCTGCATGATCCAGTTGACCACAATCAGGAAGATGATGGGTGATAGTAGACGGCAGCCTTGTCTTACTCCTGTTTTCACGTCAAAGGCGTCACTGAGCTTTCCATTGTGAATTACTTGGCATGTAGCCTTTTCATTTAGTTGTTGAATGAGGTTGATAAAGGTTTGTGGTATTCCGTAGTGTTGAAACAGTTGCCAAATTACTTGTCGGTCGACGCTGTCGAAGGCCTTTTCAAATTCGATGAAGTTGAGGTAGAGAGTTAACTGCTCCGCTTAGACTTACTACTGTGAATATTTGCGGTTTAATGTAGCAGGTAATTTTGACTAGAAAACTTTTTGTTAAGGTATGCCATACTTCGAGTTCTTTTCAAAATTACAGTTAAGTATTTGGAATAAATTTTCTTAAAAGGCTACTCATTCTGGGCTGTAATTAGCGTTGGAATTTGTTCTCTCTTCTGACAGTGGGGTGTGCTAAGCACTTTATTCAACTCCATTTTTCTGTACTCTCCACTGTTTTGATAAGCCAAAGGGATAAATTAGAGTAGGGAGGAACTGGCGAGAGGAACGGATTTTTATGAAGTGTCTGTTTGTGCTGTGAATAATTGCAGCTCGAACAAACCGAAGGATGAATTAGATCGACCTCGACTGATGTCATAATGTCAGTAGAAAACTTGGATTCGTAGGGCGGGCTTCGAGGACAATCGTTTGGATGATAGATAAGAACTAGCTGGTTATTTGTAATGGGTTGTCACCCACAGATTTGCATACATTGTCAATTTTTTTTATCGGTGACCAGCTTCTGATCACCCTTGGTTGATTCACTACTCGGTCACTGTGCTTTTCGATTCAAGTCCACCCAAATAAATCATATTGCAGGCTGTTATCGGTTATGAAGATATGCAAAGAAATATATCTCCCTCTGGAGTGCTTGTTTAGACTCTTATAATGCTTTAGTGTAAATCTACCTATATCTTGGTTAACATGTTCCTGGCAACTATTCGTTTTGCTTTGGTTTATCCACGTGGATAAAAATAGTTGTCTTGACTCCCTTAATGCTGAAAATTACACATTACGTATACAAGAACCTCTAAGCTCGGTACTCATGAACGAGGTAAAGGTTCTAGCTGTATCTGGCATGTGGAAGTTGTTGGAGGTAATACGCTTGGTGAGCATATCAGAACATTTCATGAAGGAATTTTGTGGGGGTTGAACCAGAAAAATTGACCCCTGCGTCTTCTGTTCCATTGGCGATCAAATGTTTAACAGGAACTCCGTGTATAAAAGTGCCACAAGACGTTTTTACCAGGTAACCAACCTCGATCCTTTTCTTAAGGGTGAAGACAACTTCAGTCACGGAGCAGACTAAATTGTTTAGTACAGGAATCTGCTAGCATCTTTTTACCTTATGAAACATCCTTGCAAAACGTTCTATGTAATGTGTATGGAAATCATCAAGATATCAGTCTGCTTGCTACTCCTACTGTCTAAAATAGTGGCTGTTATTATACTGTTGATCAGAACATGTGGTTAAATAATTTGTAAGGAATAGGTTGGGTTTCGTTAAAGTTATGAGTGTAGCGACTACGCGTCTCTACCCTCTACTTAGTCCTTAAACCTTATATATATATATATATATATATATATATATATATATATATATATATATATATATACTTTTTTTCATTTACACAGGTTAATTCTGGAGGTGCTTCACGCTTGAGTAGCCAGCGTTCTTCAGTGGATTTTGCATCGTCAGTCAGTTCAAGAAATTTAGATGCACGTGAACTACGAAGCCAATTGATACAATTGGAGGAGAAAGTCAAAGGAGCGATGCTATCCAACGTTCAATTAGACAATGATAAACAGCTTTTAAAGTGAGTATTTGTTGTGTAAACGTTGACTAATGGGCCTGCTAGTACTACATATTTCTAATTCCTTTTGGTTAGTTGTTTTTGAATTACTATGTTGAATTGATGGTTTTCCGAGACCATGAGCTTCCGATTTAAATGTCTTGAAGTTGTCACTGGTCATATGATAATATTATTGTACTGGTAGTTAGTACTATAATCCAGGATACGTTTTTCAATCACGCTGATCGCAAGCTTTGACACTTTAGCGATTGTTCAATTGTAGAACTTTTACTAAGGCGGTGCAATTACTGGACCCCATTTCACATAAGAACAACCATAAGACTTATCTGTCGACTGTGTAAAATAAAAAAGATACAACCGTTTTTGGGGTTTGTAAGTTTATATGTTTTTCAAGATCTGGAGTAGGTCTAGAGTATGAAGGTGGGGTCAATCAACCCATAACTGGATCTCAAACCTGCCCGGTTTTCTCTGCTTTACCGTTCTTTAGCTTCCATCAGGAAGCCAATGACTGTGAAATCACCTCTGATTTTCACACCCTTTGTGATAATTTGGCCAGTGGGATCCATAATTATAAGTCCGAAGCTTAGATGTTTATTGTAACAACATATCATAACGCACTACCTTCTGTCTTAAAGTTACTGATGCACTTCTCAACTTCAGTCAGAGTTAGAGGATTTCATTTAACTTCGGTGTGTGCGTTCGGAAAGTATCAATCATTCACACGATTCTAGCAACATAAAAAAATCAGACCCACCTTACCATAACTTAACTTCCTCACCTTTTCCCTTTCACTTACTTTGACTGTTTGCTCCTGTTACCAACACTGAACTCCATATATCTTCCTCAACTCGTTACCCTGTAGCCATTGGTAACGAGCCTAGCCAACAAAGCACCATTTCTGAAACCACACTACCAGTTCTACATTTCAGCTTTTAACTTCTGAACCCTATGCTAAATTAGACAACAGACCTTACTTGTCTAAATTCTGGAATCTGACGACACGGGTCTATGTTTGTGGGGCACATGTACAGGATTAGAGTGTAATTATTCACCTGACCACACCTACCAATATGCTGGAAGTGTGAAATTCATTTTACGAGAATCCGTAGATTTAATGATTTTCTCCGGTGGACTCACTGATGTAAGTGTTGCAACAAACTGTAGAGCAGAAATCACACTTCTTGACTATCGACAGTCAGCTATGTGTTTTCTGGGTAAACGAGTCTATAGGATCTGGAATGGATTCTGACACCTGTCAGTGCCTATACATAGTCTCCACTTATACACCGACCAGCTGCGGTTCGTATGGCACAAAGGATGAATCCTGCCAGAAGCATAAAACCAAGCGTAGTCGCAGATGGCTTCAGTGCTCAAGTTAGGAAGCTGAGCCAATCGGAAAAGCAGACACTTTAAGGATATCCATGGTACCCCCATCGATAAATTACAGTTTTTGATCATTTCTTATAATTTCACCCTGAAAACCACTTGTTTCTGGTCAGCATGGACTTCAAGCATGAGGAGAGATACAGTCTTGACATCCTCTGACATCAAATCAATGTTGAGCACAAGCAGGTCATATTGCTATAAGTCATCGTTGGAGAGGATAGGTGGGGATTGTTCTTCTTTCTGGAGTACCTGTTTAGACTTCGACCATGGTTTATTCTGAACATATGTGTGTTTTCACCTTAACTGGTTTCAGGAAACAGAGAGTTTAAGAGATTTCTGTCTGCTAGACTGGTAGATGGGGATATCGAATGTGTATTTAGGAAGGAGATAGATGGGTAAGCACTTATCTGAGCATGGGTGCAGTTTTGTTCTTGATGAAGCCAGGTGTAATATTCATTTTGCCGTAGGAGAAGCGGTAAGACAGTTGGTAGCATACATGTAGAGGTTGGCAGCAGGCGTTGGGTATTCCTCAACCTCATCTCAACTGACTGGTAGGAGAAGACTCATTGGGACTGGTTCTGGTAGTGATGTGAAGGTGAATCAGCTTGGAGATAAGTTGGCTATTAGTCTTGTCAGTGACCACCAGTAGTGGTAGGTGGCATAAACAAAAGAGCCGGAGAGGGCATCGGTATTATTTGATACTGGATAATTATTTCAGTGAGGCTGTCATCGAGAGGCATGGTTTCTTGATAGCGTGTAGGAACACACTAGTTAAACGTTAGGAGGAGAGAGCTTGTTGAAGAACTGTTCAACTGGCCTACAACTACTCTTCATCTGCCCAAGATCCATTTGGAACCTCAATGGGATATCGATGCGTTATTCCAACTCACATTGACGTTGTTTAGAATGTTTCAAACTTGGAACAATAGGAAGAAAAAGGAGATGACAGTTCGCCACTGGAAAGGTGTTTTATGGATGTAGATAGAAAATTCTTGAGTTGAGTAACGGAGATACCAGATGGTGTATGGGGATCAGAGGTAGTTGCGTTAAACTCGTGTATACCATTAAGTTTTTCAGTCTGTAGGAAGGTAGAGACATTTTCGTGTGACAATCATAAGGGAATCACTTGGACTAACATTATGTCTAAGATCGTAGGGTTCATCGTCATCTGATACCTAACTGGAGCTCGAGAAGAACAAAGTGGTTTCTGATAGGGATGAGGGTACATCGATCAGGTATTTCCCCTTCGACTAGTTTTGATGTACAGACATACCGGCACCCAAAACCTGCCATATTTCATGAGTAGAAGTTGGTATTCTATTTTGTTGAGTGATAGGTGTTGTTGCAGTATGTGAGTGTGAAGGCCTTTGGCGAGAGCGAGAAGGATGGGGAAGGCGTCAGGGTTGATTCACAATCGGCAATTATTTAGACTTATTAGCATACCGGTATGAAGAAAACGATGCTTAGTGACGCCATCACCAAAAACAATGGGACGCTCATATTGACTCAGAACTGGGGGCTAAAATGTTAGACAGAGCACTTTGAAACAAATTACAGCTGGCTCTCAGCAACGCGTCAGTTGCCCAATATCCAGCCTGAACTGGAATGGCACGTGGATACCGGTCCATCAAATCTCCTTGTAGTTGAGAAGGCTACATCGAACCTGAAACGATGAAAGCAGCAGAATCTGACAGCCTGCAACCCGAAGTCTTCAAGGATGAAGGTAGGAAATTGCTGGTTAAAGTGACGTGGGTACTATATAGTGTATGTTAATCAGAGGTAGTGACGTCCGACTGGTCTACTTCACTGATCGTCCCAGTCTATAAGGAGGGAGAGAGGTCTTGTGACACTCATAGGGGAATTAGTTTGACTAATATTCTGTCCTACATCTTAGGGCACATGGTTATTCAACGCCTAAATGGAACTCAAACACAACAAATTCGAAAAAACCAGGCAGGTTTCAAACCTGGACGAGGGTGCTTGGATCATATTTTCACCCTACGGCAGGTCCTGGAACACAGAGATACCTACCGGCTGTCGACGCCATATTTCTTGACCTGAAGGTGGAATTTGACTCTGTCGACCGTGAGGTGTTGTGACAGTGTCTGACTGATGCGAGTACTAAGAAAGCATATAACGCTAGTCAAAGCTCTCTACTCGAACTCACGAAACCGTGTTAGGGCTAATAGAGAGTTGTCATGTGAAGTGACGACACCTAGTGTTGTCCACCGAGGATGCCTACTGTCACCGTTTCTATTTAGCTTCGTTATAGACGTACCAATGGATATAACCTTAGGTACGTCTGAATTCTCTGGGATTGACGTACTCTCTGGAGGTCATCTGGTTGTCATGGAGCATGCAGATGATATTGTCCTGCTAGGTGAAGATGCTGAAAAAATGCAGGGTCTTCTGAACTCGTTGAGCAGAAATCTGAGTATGTCTGGCATGCATTTTACGATCGTCAGATGTAAGATAATGCCACTACTTCTAGTGTGTTGATAAGGAGTGAATTAGTTCGATCTGTCGACCACTTTAATTACTTAGGGAGTTGCATCAGCCCGAACGGGGTGGTTGCTGACAAAATCTCAGCTTGAATAGAGAAGTCTCTTTTAGCATTTATTAGCTTGCGTTATCTGGGGTACCGACCGCCGATGTATCCGACTATCTATCAAGGGACGGGTTTACTGCGCTGCAGTCCGCTATGTGCTGTTATATGACTAAGACATGGCCGTTAAAGTTAGAAGACTTTAGGCGGCTACAGGGTTTCGATCATCTGTGTCATCGTTGCATTGCTTACGTTCGGTGGAATCATTGTGTGGGCAATGTTGAGGTTGGGCGAAGTGTACGGCGCAAAACAAGCGATCTGATCGATGAGGTGGTGGTCCTTCGTCGACCGAGATGACTCAGCCATGTACTGCACATGCCGGGTCACCATCTACCTTGACGCTCCACGCCAGTAGAAATTGGATTAGGTTAGGATAAAGTTCAGGATAACCAGACGAAGACATGGCATGAACCATGTGGGGGATATGCAGACTACCTGTTTGGGTTCCATGGGACGATAGGAATCAGTATTTGAGGACTGTTTGGGAAATGGCTGAAAGTTGGTTACAGTGGCACAGATGTATTCACTCCTTGACGTCTTACTAAAGCATGAATATTCGCAAAAACCTTTATCGTCAACTTTTTCTACTTTCATAGCACTCTTATTCTACCCACTAGTTCTTTGTGTACTACTGTAATTGTGACAACTTGAACCGATACACTTGCGTTTGAGGTTCTACTTGGATTTTATCTGTCTGACAGAGGAAGACTGTCTAGTCGAACTCGCCCAACTGTGTAATGGTTTACGTTTATCAGTCGTCTGAAGTTAAGATAACTAGTAGTGTCTGACAGGAATGCCAGCTGTCGCCGCTTGTGTTTGACTGTTCTATATACGTGCTAATGAATGTTACTCAAGGTAATTCCGATTTCTTACACATTCACTTACTCACAGGAGGTCACTCGATTGTGTACAGAGACTAAGTAGCTTTTTTAGACGAAGACGCTGACCAAAGGGATACCCTTCTGAACTTATTGAAGAGAAACTTGAGGATGTTTGGCATACGTGTTGCACCTGTCAAATGGAAGATGATGCTTCAAGATTGGTCTGCAGCTACCCGTAGTTTTAGGAGTGGAGTGGAGGAATGTGTTGATCTCGTTCACCCACTTGGTCAGTTGCATCAGGTAGGCGAAATAGGTTGGTTGCTCACAAAAGATAAAGAGAGCTGTTTTTGAATTTTACAACGGACTTCATCTCTGTTACCGACGAGCTGAGTGTCCGTTGAAGAGGAGTGTAGTGTGTTGCTATCCACTCTGTCCTATTATCTGTCTATGTGAAGTGGCCGTTGGAGGTAGATATTGAGAGACTACCGGTTTTTGATATTTAGTGATTGTGTAGCCTTAATCGCGCGTGGTCAAAGTACGGTGTTATTAATGGTGAGTTTTGGGGAAGTGTGCTGGACGGTGAGGAGAGGTCATTCGATGACGTTGTGAACTTCTGTCTACTGAGGAGGGTTGGAGCCTACTGCCACGTGCAATGTTGGCGGAAGTAGGATTGGGTTGTAAGAAGGTTAAGGATGGTGTGATGCTGACATGGCATATATCTATGAAGTCTAAGACTTAGTCTGAGGTGTTTTGAGAGACAAAGACTGCGTAGTTGGGGTCATCGAATCAAGTCGTGTTGACGCACTTTTGTCAAATTCTACGTTGATTCATTAGCAAGACATCAGTGTTTTGTTGTGAATTAATAATTGTCAACTGTGTAAAAGTTGGAAGCCAATGGGTCTGTTTCTTGAAGGGATGTATTCGCATTCTATGAATGCGTCGTTCACGTATGCCTCTATGCTACTGTGATCTATCTAATATGAATGGAATATCATATATATATATATATATATATATATATATATATATATATATATATATATATATATATATATATATATATATATATATATATACTTCCTTTGGCTTGTTTAATCATCGGTAAATACAGTGTCATTTCAACATTTGACTCAATAGTCTGAATATGGTTGAGCTATCCCGTCTTATCTAACCTAATGCAGTAGATATGATGGTCTGGAGTCTGCTAAATAATTTATCATAGATATCCTTATGGAGGTCTCCCTCCCGTCACCTGACTTCACAGGTTGACCCTAATCGCAGGAGAATTCTCATCAGACCTACAATATGCAGATGACATAGTCCTGTTAGGTGAAGACGCTGACAAAATGCTGAACAGTTGTCTTCTGAACACTTTGAGTGGCAATTCGAGAATGTTTGAGATGCGTCTGTCACCACGGAAATGCAAATTGTTGCTCCAGGATTGGTCTTCAACGATGCCCCACCGTGGCTAACAATAGAGAGTGAGTGTGTCAACCACTTCACTTACCTGGTAAGTGAAGTAGGATCAGCCGTGCCCTGGTGGCTCAATGGCTGATGAAATCTCTGCACGGATACAAAGGCTTGATTGGCTTTTGTCAACTAACGCTGTGTGTGGCACCACCATGATATCCGATTGTTCATTCAGGGTGGGGTGTGCTGCACAGCAGTCTGGTCTGTTCTACTCTGTGTGTGTGTGTGAAACATGGCCATTGAAGGTGGAAGAGATGAGAGGGGGCTGGCTTCAAGTGTTTGACCACCGTTACCTTCTTAGTACATGTCGTATTCCGTGGTGTTACCATGTGAGTAGTGTAGAAGTCAGGTGTAGAGTTTTGGGGAGAAGAGGTGAGTTGAGACGGTTATGAACGTGCATGAAGTGAGATGGCTGGTTGAAACATGTGTTAGTTATGCCTAGTCACTGATTGCCTCATCGCACAATGTTGGCCGAAGTAGTTCCAGGCTTGGAAAAGACACCAGGTGGCCAGACTACAATATGACATCAATGCATGAAGTCTCCGACTATTGGTTTGAACCATATGGAGCAATGTTGTAGACCAGCCGGTTGGGGTCCTCGGGACAGGAGGAACCAGTGGTTGGAGACTCCAGGGGATATGGCTGAGAACCTATGTGGGTGGCGCAGATGTAAACACACATTATCCTCATCTTAACAATGCTATACCGATTCTCACCATTTTCTCATTCTTCCTTTCTCTCCTCTAGTACTTTATATTTCTTTCGAGTGAATTTTCTTATTTTTATCCTGCACCTCACTACCTTTTTACTTGATGTACTGATATGAAGTGTGGCAACTCGGACCGTTACTCAGTAATGCCTTGTCCTATGTTGATATTGATGATGAATAATTGTGAATTATTTATGTATATCTTTGAAATATATTTCAGTAGTTTGTCATGTTGTATATTTTCCTCTTTATTTCATTGACTAGATATGAAGTCGATCTACTAAAAGATAAATTAGAAGACCTTACAGATGCTTACGCATCTTTGAATAAAACTTTCCTGGAAAATAAACGGGTTAGTTTCATTGTTATAGTTTATTCAAATATACTGTAGAATCAGATATAAATGTTTCCAGGGTGAATGATACTCTTTTTAAAATATTCATGTAGATCTGTAGCATAACTCGTTGAACTGCTCTTGTCCCACAGACCCCAACTGGCTAGTCTACATCGCCGTATATGGCTCGAACCAAAACTCAAGGACTTCATGTATTGACGCTGTTATAGTCTGGCCGCCCAGAATCTTTTTCCAGCCTGAACCTACTTTGGCCAACAGTATGCGATGGGGTAGATGGTGGCTAGGCATACATAACACATGTTCCAGTCATCTCAGTCGATGAGGATTGACAACAGCATCGACTAACTTATCCTCCCTAAAATTCTACTTTTGACTTCTGCGTTACTCACATAGTGACATCACTAAACATGGCTTATGCTATGAATGCAACAACGGCGAAAAACCTGAAGCCTCCTCATGTCTTCTACCTTTAATGGCCGTGTTTCACAGCCATAGATTAAAACAGGTGAACTCCAGCACAGTACACTTGATCCTTAATAGAAAATCGGATATCGCGTTGGTGCCGCATATAGCGTAAGTTAGCAAAAGCCGGCCGAGCTTTTTGTATCTATCCCGAGATTTCGTTGACAGCTGACCTACCAGGACTGGTCCAGCTTCACAGATAAGTGAAGTATTCACTACGCTCGGGGTACCGTCAAAGACCAGTCTTAGAGCAACAGTTTACACTTGGGTGGCAAGAGTCGCATCTCAAACATTCTCAGATTGCCAGTCAAGGTGTCCAGAAGACATCTATCTGGTCAGCATCTTCATCTAACAGGATATTCTAGGTCTACCAAAAATTCTCCTGTGATTAGGTTGATCTCTGTGTACTTGGATGTTAACATAATTTAGCTGTACGTATAGTTTTGTTATCCTAGTGGATTATTTCATTGTGATTTATGGTATAGTAGACGAGTATTCTGCAGCTGCGGAGATTTGCATTGTGAACGTTTATTGTCACCATGGAAGATAAATGCTTACTTTTCAGAATCTGTTGATGTTCTAACTGAAATGCTAAGCAGGTTTAATCTCTGGTGACATAAGTTTAAACTTCTCAGCTTCATATAACATTCAAGTCTTTTAATAGGCTTATCTGAAAGTTAGTAAATTCTCAGTTAATGGTTTCAAACAAATAACAACAAGAAACATTTAGAAGCTTGAAACTGAAGGTAATCAGTAAACATTAATTACATCCACATTGAAAAAAGAATCTGTCCGCACTCATTTAGAAATTCTCATAGAAACAGCATTGTCAAGGTCGTTCAGTCCAGCCAATCATATTATGATAAAACTCTGAAAAAAGCTGACGGCTTTGATTACACCGTTAACCAGCAAACTGTTTATTTGAAATACCAAATCTAACTTCACAGTGGAGCTGTAACTCTTTCTCCTAGTCGTTTAACTTTTATCCAGTATGACACAAGTCTCAACCCTGCATTACTTATCGAAGTTTAAACAGACAGACAGCTTTACTAACCCTCATACAATTTTTCTTGTGCATATTCCTTACCTTCTAGTCTTTGTCATATTTGAAATTTTAAACATTTTCTTCATATTTATTGTTTCCCTCTACTCAAGTACACTTGTTTACTCCAGTTGGCATTCTTTTTATTGTGACCGAGTGGTGGTTGTGCGCGTGGGCATAGTGATATTGAAACTCAATAGACACCTCAACCGAATACCTTTACGACTGACCTCCCTCAGTACCTTCTGCTTCATTGAGCCGCGGAGAAATCAAAAGACAAGACAACCTGTGACTGAAAGGACAGCAACAACTCTTATTAGGCAAATACATGACATATATGTATTTATAAAACTCTCAGAAAGTGAAGCCATAAATGAACCAATCCGATTTCTTGTATGAGGTCGAACTTCTCCAATCAGGTTCTCATGTCAGCGCAAGCATGAATCATGATCTGATCATGACTTGAAAACAACTCTCCTATTGACTGCCTTCTTGTCGCTACGTATCACTTTTCCTATCCACTTCTTCTGTGCGCGTACTGTTGTCAAGTGTGGCAAATTGAAGTGATGCACTTTTCTACTAGATTCTATGTTGATTCATTTCTATATCTCACATTCCATGCATTCATCGACTTCACATGTCTTTATTTTATCTCTTTCGATTGGTTTGAAATGTACTAGCCATTTCTTTTGCTAAGTAGATATTTTAGAGCGCAGGGGTTTAGAGAAATAATTATCAGTCAGTGGTTCGAATCACCTACCGAGGTTTGGGCAACCATATAGTATCTCATTAGCCTTCATACAACAGGTATGGCTCATTGCCTGATGCAAGAATGTGCACAACGTCGCTGAATACGTTTCGTTCGTTTCATATACACAGATATTATAATTGTACACAAATGATCATGTTGTAAGCAGATTTCTCTGGTTGGAGTAAACTCTCCAGGATCTTATCTTCTACACTGTATTAGATGAACTGAGTTGACAATGGAAGTAGCTAATGGTTGTTCACAGTCATTAGATTCACGTCATAGCATGTGTTAGAATTATCATGAAGTATAAGACTTAATCGGGTGTCTACAATATTAAATTACTAAAAAGTATTTAAGCGTTTTAAGTCGGCTTTACCATCTGAGCTGACGAGAAATTCCGGTGTTAGTGAGAGGTGCTGACTTTTGGTTTTTTTCAGCTGGCTTAAACCTGCTTCTTCTACACCTAGTGTTTTCAATTAATAAGGACTGTAGAATGGTTAACTATGAAATCTTCAACGTCCGTGATCGTAACTGATATATTCTATAAACAGTTGGGAAAATATGGCGTTCGAAACATTGCAATCCGCCATAAATATGCGGTGGAGATATGTAGATGCTGCATTCATTGTCAGATAGGCGGATAGACAAAATCAAGTTAGGACCTTGCACATAAGTGCATTGGTTCAACTTGCCACAAAGAACAGGTGGATAGGAAAAGAGTGGTATCAAAGTAGACAAAGTTGCGTGAGAGAAGCTAAAGGTGATTGCGAATATTCAAGTTTTAGAAGATATCGGTAAGTGAATACATCTGCGCCATTGTGGCCGGACACGATATTAGTTAAGCTGATTCCTCTGTGATTGTCACAAGAAGACTTCCCTCCCTTCCTACAGACTCGGATGATCAGTGAAGTAAACCAGTCTGACGCTTCTGCCTCTAATTCTTATACGCTATATAGTACCTCCGTCATTTTAACCAGCGATTTCTTACCTTCATTCTTGAAAACATCCGGTGGCAAATTGACAGGTCCTGATACTTTACATCGTTTCAGGTTCGATGTAGCCTTCTCAACTTCGAGGAGATTTAGTGGACCGATGTCTACGTGCCATTCTAGTTCAAGCTGGATGTTGAGAAACTGAAACGTTGCTGACAGCCAGTTGAACTGTGCTTCAAAGTGTCCTGCCAAACGTCCTAGCCGCCTGTTCTGATGCAATATAAGCATCCCATTGTTTTTGGTGATGGCATTACTGAGCATCGTTTTCCTCTTGCTTGTATCCTTAATAAGCCTAAATAATTGATGATTGTTATGAAATAGAAAGTCCAATAGGAGAACTAACTGTTTTTGACTGCGAAATCAGGCGAAGAGAAGATTATATATTGGGTGATGATTGAAAGTGATATGAAAATTTTGACCGCAGCCGGACTCAAACCAGCGGCCGGCAGATTTCCGACCCGATACTCTACCAACTGAGCTACGAGGTTCGACTGCTGATCGGATTTTTATTTCACTTCAGTCACCAAGGATTTTTGCCCGACTGTAGTTTCAATAGCTACGTTTACAAAAAGGTATTTCACCTAAGTGGGAACTTGGATTTCATATTGTCATACTCAACATCTATCAAGGTAGATTTGTTCAAAAGTTTTAGTAGGAAAGTATTCAGTTTGTTTATGCAGTTGTCTTCTTTCTGTTTTACGTCTCCTATCGATGACCCTGTTTGATTTAAACTTTTCATTTCCTTGAATCTTCTCTTACTGTTTTGTGGGAGATATTACCACTCCAACCGATATGCTTTTATGTGATATTCCAAGTTGTCTATGTCTCTTAGTGTTCTAATCATGTGATAAGAAATTGCCTTTGTAGATAGATTACTTCAAGTTGACATAGCCTTCTTCGAAGTACAGTGCTAGAAAAAGTTGGATTAGGTATGGAGGAGGGTTCAGGGTGACCAGAATAAGATATGGCACCGATGCATGAACTCCTTGACTCTTGGTCTGGACTATATACGTAGGTGTAAACTACCTGGATGGGGTCCTCAAAATAGTAGTAGTGAATAGTTGAATATCCTTGATGACATGGCTGAAGATCGGCCACAATAGAGCAGATGTTTTCACGAATCTTAATTTTTTAATTCCTTCTCCTTTCATACTTGAGTGCGAAATTCTACATTGATTTTATCTGTCTCACCTTAATTTGACTATCTTGGAATAGCTACATTGTAAAGCGATTCCTAAAAAAACAAATATTTGTCCAGTCCTAATCTTTTTTATAGTTTGCTTTACCTACACCTCAATGTTCGATTTGATGACTTGGCCGGCGTCATGTATATTAGCTAGGCATCGTAGTTCATTCCTTGTCCCCATCCTAACTTTCTCTTCCATCGAGAAAAGACAAATCAGCTGACTGGCTTACCAAAGGCTTTCACCAACCGGCATCATTTTGTCTCTTCGACTCCAGCGAGGAATAAGACTTTTTTTTATAATTTCTTTGTGCTTTGAAGTTTGTTTAGCGATTGGATTGGTTTTACATGGTAGGGTTGCTAGCCGTATGGCCAACCATCCCTCTCTATCCGGACTTAGGATCGGCTAGTAACTAGTGAAGATAGGAGTAAGACAAGGCTGCCTAATATCACGCATGATCTTCCTGATTGTGGTGGACTGGACCATGCAGCAAACTGTGAGGAGCGAGAAGATAGGCATACGCTGGCTGGACCGATGAAAAGACCCTAGAAGATTTAGATTTCCTC